TCGCTTTATGTAACGGTTTAAGACATACTTAAGCAGTACTTAGACAGGTCCTAAGATTGTGCCTAAACCGTACTTACGACCCTACTTAAGTCAAAAACTTAGCAAGCTTTATGTTACGAGCCCCAGATCTTTGTGTCTACTCTTTCAGTAAAAGGACACAAACAAAATATAGTTGCAATAAATTAGAAGTACACTTCCAGACAAATATTTATGGCATTGCATGGATTTTTCTCATCTCTATCCACAGTCAATATTACGCGTTTTAAGTCCCAGTAATCGATGATTACGTCTGCCTGTAAAACTAACCTTGCTCATAACTTCTTATTTAGTTGACCTATGATTTTCATATTTCAGATACTTATTCCTTGTGACAAAACCTTTGTTAAGGTACCACCAAATTTGACCTACAAAATGTGACCTTGGACTTTGACACACTTGTAAACAAAATCTTAACTTTACCTTGCCAATAACTTTAACATGGCAGATATAAGTACTTTAATACTTGGCAACTTTAACATGGCAGATATAAGGACTTTAATACTTCACATGTTTGTATTCTTAATTTGTGAATACACCTATCAATAGATACCGACATCTTTGACCTTGACCTGTGCGATTTATGTACTTTAATAAACTTTAGCCTTGGCTATAACTTTAAAAAGGTAGAGCCGGATAGGGCTTTCATACTTAACATGTGTAAACCTTTCTATGTCTATCTTTAGTAACCACTGCAACACTTTTCATCGAAATTAAAAACCGAATAAAAGAATCATGTATCTTAGTGTAGTTTACTTGTGTGCTAAGTTATATTGAAATTAGACCAAAACTGTACGAGAAGTAGCGTTTTAAATAAGAAATAAGGTTTCATTTTTAAACATCTATCGGGATATAAATACGGGTTGGTCACGAGATTAAATTCCATAAAGCCCGAAGGGCTTTATGATGAATTTAATCTCGTACCAACCCGTATTTATAGCCCGATAGATGTTTTAAAATGATACCTTATTACTTATATTTACATTTGTGATTTATACATACTTTATATTTGTCTGATTTTGACTTTCAACGTGTGAAATGCAATATTTTTCAAACCCAACAACAAGTATTGTAATCCACTGATCGCGTGTCGACCCTTTATGACGTCACTGAGAAATTACGTCAAACGATTATCCAAACGCACATCTATGACCTCTTGACACCATACCTGTATTTATACAGTTATAGATACACATTCCTTTCAGTAGTGTTATATAAAGGAAAACATTTGCAAATGTAAATATATGAATTTCACGGATGTTTCTACTTTTTATAACCATGGCAACACCATTTATCGAAATTGAAAACCGATGCACTAAATAATGTTTCTTCGTAAAGTCGATTTGTCTGCCAAGTTATATTGAAACCAGACCAAAACTGTAGGAGGAGTAGCATTTTGAACAAAAAATGTTTACTGACAGACGGAGGGGCGACGGACACCTTACTATCGCATAAGCTCTTCTGGGGCCTGTTTTGCAAAAGGACTTACGACTTAATACCACATTTAATGCTTTACATAATTCTTTAATTAACATTATATCGAAAATTATTTTAAACTTCTTCAAAGAAATGTGGTATGATATTTTTACACAAACAATTTCAAAGAAAAATATTCATTTTGCAAAATATTACAACATTCTGAAGTTTTTGGTCTTAGTCGTAAGTTCTTTTGTAAAACGGGCCCCAGGTCTCTGACCAGTAGAGCTAAAACAAAATCAAGAAATTCTCAAGAATAACACAACTTTGACAGGTGCAGATAAGTTTACTGTGTAATGTTAAGGTTGTTGCTAAAGACGGTAAGCTTAAGTTTTCTCTTTTTTAAAAACCCCCTTTTTATGTATTTTATAGACCATCAAATGTGCACTTGTCATTTTTGAGGGTGTGCATAATTCATTAAAAAAATCATAGTTGACGATAGAGGATTTTAATTAGATATGACTTTTATATGGTGAATATTGCTTTTAAACAAATGATTTATATCGAATCCAAGTTATTTGTTTGACATAAATTTTCCGCTTTCCTTTCCATTCCGTTTTTCCTTCCGCGTTTTAGCACAACTCCTACCCGGCTACCTGCATTTTTTTAAAAACACGATAAAGATATGCACTTCCAAATTAACTCATTTTAAGGTGCTCACACTGTGGTAAATTTGATTATTACAGTATTTGAACATTACAAAAATCATTAGGAGGCAATGAAGTAATAACATGTGTAATATGTAAACAAATTTTGGTTATACCATTTGTTAAAATATCTATAGGCAAATCTTCATTAATTCAATGAAATATCGTATTGAAACAGCTGTTTACAAAGGCTTTAAGTAAAATCAATAAGATGGACCTCAGTGACCGGATTATCTTGACAGAAAAATTTAATTTATGCAGGGAACAGATTTTGAGAAACCCACCACGTTGTTAAACACAGAAAACTCTATAGCAACAACTTTAATCTTTTAAAATCCCTTTTGAATTTATTGATAGACAAACTACTTAGGTCCATTTTTTTTATGTTCTTTTATCTCTTTTACCAGATTTATGACCACACCAGGATACATATTTCTGTATATCGGTGAGATCTATCACTGTTTGTTATCTTCGATTTTTTTTCATTGCATCATGCTTTTATGCTTGTTTAAAATAGGTCCCCAAAAATACTTCAACTGGAAGAGTAGCTTTTATTAAACTTTACACAGGATTTTCTATTTTAGTAACCATGGAAACATCAGTTTTTTAAATTAAAAAACAAAACTTGATAATTATGTATCTCAGTGTAGTCTACTTCCATGCCAAATTATAATATCATAATCAGACTAAAACTGTATTTGGAGTACAAATGTAGCAATTCAAAAGTATTCACAGAAATTTCTATTTTAGTTACTACTGCAACACCGTTCATTCAAATCAAAACCGATATACAGAATTATGTATCTTGGTGCAGTCTACTTGTGTTCGAAGTTTTATTGAAATCTGACCAAAACAGTAGTTGGAGTAGCAGTTTGAAAATTGTTTACAGACGGGCGGACGGACGACGGACGCATTACATGTACTACTACTATTGCATAAGCTCTTTTGGTCTCTGACCAGAAGAGCTGAAAATGTCATCTTTCGCCTGCCGCAGCTGTAAACAACCTCCGGTAAGTTATCCTTCTTGACTTGAATTCTCGCAACAATTTAAACAAAATGTTTATTATCACTAGGGTCAATCGTTAAACAGGTCCAGTCCAAAGACAATTTCTACCTACGTAGCTATTAATAGCTACCTAGGTATTAAAACCTACCCAAAGTAGCTATTTCTACCTACTTTTCATATTTTCAGCGTTCTGCGGCCAAAAGACCGAACGGCGTAACATGGTGAATACCAACATTTTAGCTCACCTGTGCCAAAGGCTCAAGTGAGTTTTCTGATCAAAATTTGTCTGTTGTCTGTCGTTGTCGTAAACTTTACATTTTCATCTTCTCCTCAAGAACCACTGGGCCAATTTCAACCAAACTTGCTACAGAATATCCTTGGGTTGAGGGGATTCAAGTTTGTTCAAATGAAGGGCCACGCCCTCTTGCAAGGGGAGATAATCATGAATTTGTTAAAAATTAATTGCATTTTGAAACAAGAGGCCCATAGGCCACATCGTTCATCGGTAGTTTAAATCCAAAAGTAGTCCCATGACCAATCATTGATTTGCTATTTTTAAGAAAATGATTTTTAAAGAATTTTCCTATATATATCTTTAAAATTTTTGGTCGGCCATTTTGGCCCCGCCCTACCCCGGGGGGTCATGATTTGAACAAATTTAAATCTACACTACTTAAGCATGCTTCCATATAAATATGATGAATTATGGCTTTGTCATTCTTGAGAAGAAGATTTTTTAAGAATTTTCCTATATATTTCTATGTAAAACTTTGGTCGGCCATTTTGGCCCCGCCCTACCCCGGGGGGTCATGATTTGAACAACCTTGAATCTACACTACCTGAACATGCTTCCTTATAAATATGATGAATTATGGCTTTGTCATTCTTGAGAAGAAGATTTTTAAAGAATTTTCTTTTGTATTTCTATGTAAAACTTTGGTCGGCCATTTTGACCCCGCCCTACCCCCGGTGATAATGATTTGAACAAACTTGAATCTACACTACCTGAGGATGTTTCCCCTTAGTTTCATCTTTCCTGCCAAATTTTACATAGGAATATATAGGAAATATCTTTAAAAATCTTCTCCAGAATCACTGGGCCAGAATAGATTAAATTGATGTGGAATCATCCTCAGGTAGTGTAGATTCAAGTTTGTTAAAATCATGACCCCAGGGCCAAGCGTGGGGCCAAAATGGCCAAACCAATTATCACATAGGGATATATAGGGAACTTATAATTACTATTTAAGTACTTCAAAGCTATGGTTAGTGATATTGATATGGAATCATCCTCTGGTAGTGTAGATTCTAGTTTATTCAAATGAGGAACACCTTGGGGGGGTGTTAAATTCATGCCCGATGTGCTCAGGTGAGCGCTATGGCCCCTTGGCCTCTTGTTTGATACAATTACTAATGATGAATACGACAAAAGTTTGGCCAAAAAATTATTACTTCCTGAATCGGCATTTTACATTAGTTTCTATGCATAATAGATAATAATTATGCGAAGTAATTATTTTTGGCCTTATTTTTGTCATATCCATCATCAGTGTGACTGTATCAAAAAATTTTATGCTCACCATGTTGCACCGTTCCTGCATTTGGCCACAAAATGCAAGTAAAGCAGAAAATAGATAAAAATAGCTACTTTGGGTAGGTTTAAATACCTAGGTAGCTATTAATAGCTACGTAGGTTGAAATAGTCTTTGAACTGGACCTGTTAAAACTTAGCATTAATAAACAGCCATTTTAACCGAAAGATTCGTTTTACCAAGAACACATGCATAGTGGTAATACATCTAGTTTGATGGTGGAAAAGACGAATTCAATGAAATGGTGATCTTGATTTCTTAGTGGACTGATTTTGATTCTTGACGTGGTATGTACTGTTTATAGATGAGTCTATATAATCACTTTTTATCAATAACTATATATTTCGCATAGAAACGTCATAAGTACACATGAAATGAATGGACTTGGATTTTTACAATTACGAGGTAAAATTAAATAAAATATGTCAGTGAACAAAAATTTCAATATTAACATTAAAGCTGTAATAAGTTTACCTAACCGTCGATTTCTGAACACTCCTAAAGACTTATCGGAACAAAATAAATTCCAACGCCTTATGTATTTTTTTAGAAGAACTGTATCAGGAGAGAAAATTAACATTTTTCTTTTATATTCGTCTGCCTACGACTACACATATAGTTATATAAGGCTAGTTCGTGGAATTGTTCTTTGCTTACAATCAGGCAGTTGTTGTTTTTGTTTGAATATATTGCTGATTAAGTCAACACATAAAACATTTTTCCCTGTTGATTCCTCTGGTTGACCTGATTAAAATGATTACATTTAATTACTTTTTATTAATTTTTTGAACGTAAACTTAAATATTTATATTTTTATATATTGAAATACAAATATAGTGCGAAGGAGCACTTTATAAGAATGATAAATCTTACAAAGTGGAATTGAATTCCAATTTTAGTATTTAAATTAAAATAGAATGTAAAGGGCAGTTTGATCATTTATTCGTTAATAGCTCATTGGATTTCCAACATAAAGCTTGCTAAGTTTTTGACTTAAGTTGGGTCGTAAGTACGGTTAAGGCACAATCTTAGGATCTGTCTAAGTACTACTTAAGTATGTCTTAAACCGTAACATAAAGCGAACTAAGCTAGGTCCTAGCTAAGTCGGACTAATGTTAAAAAATGTCATATGAGTAAACCTATAGTTTTTGATTTTATATACTAGATATATTGCTAAAAGTGATTCAGTTAGGGTTATAATTAATAACATATTAAAGTTGACGACCTAACCTATCGGTTTAAGTTATGTTATATTAGATTTCGTATTAAAATTATAATTATGTTATAAACTTTTTTCGAATATTTGAAAACAAATACCGCACGGTCAGAGAGGGACGATTTTTGGTTCATTGTAAATGTTCACGACAATTGTTTTATCACATGTTATGTTTTCAGTTTACCTTTCTTAATTCTTATGTTTTGATAAATGTTTACTTACTCTGTTATTATCGCAGACAAAAAAAAAATAATCGACCGCCTATTCACTTGAAATTTAAACTCTAAAAAGTTCAATATATTTATGAACCCCCACTATTTTTAAGGCCATGCATGTCAGAAGCAAAAAATGCTATACTCATGTGCAATTTAATCAAGAATACAAAAAAAAATTGGATTTTTTTTTCGTATGTCTCCATTTATCAGCAATTCTCTCTCTGTCTCTCTAGAAATGTAGTGAGCCCTGTCTAAATCCGCGCTTGTCGCGTTCTTCAATTATCTACTGAAAACAGAATCAGTGACAACCCCCCCCTTCCCAACAAAAAAATTAAATTCCTAAATCAGCGTCAAATAGTGATAATAATTTTCTTCAATGCATAATATGAATAGAGGAATCTTTTTAACATCGAATGTCAAATTAAATAATTCTAAATCTATGTACAAGAAAGTTAAGATATACTTAAGTCACCTCTTCCTGGGGGTCGTAACATAAAGGCTACTTAGGTCTTAGACCGTGCTTAAGTAGGACTTAAGTACAGTCTAAAACTTAAGACCGTAATTAGAAGCGTACTTAGATTTGGCAATCTTAGCAAAACTTAGGCGGCCGGTAGAGGTGACTTAAGTATATCTTAACTTTCTTGTCCATATATTTAGAATTATTTAAGGTTGACATTCGATGTTTAAAGTTTCCTTTATTCATATTATGCATTAAAGAAAATAATTATCTATATTTTACGTTGATTTAAGAATGTTATTTTTTCTTTGGGAGGGGGGTTGAGGTGGGGTGGGTCGATCACTGATCCCAATTTGGCTCACAGCACAGCACAGCAGAGCATACATGTCAATACAAAATTTAATTTTAGGGATGCATCTGAAATTAGTCGGTTATAGAAATATCCCGATTTTTGTTTTGTATCCTTGATTATAAGTATATCATTAAACTTCTGCCTTTTTTGCTTCTGACATACATGGCATTATACATAGAAGGGTTTTAAAATGTGTCGAACTTTTTAGAGTTTCAATTTCAAGTGAATAGGCGGTCGATTATCTTTTCTTGTCTGCGATAATAACAGGGTAAGTGAACATTTATCAAAACAAAAGAGTTACAAGAGGTAAACTGAAAACACCTCAGGTGATAAAACAATTGTCGTGAACATTTACAATGAACCACAATTCGCCACTTTCTGACTGTGCAGTATTTGTTTACAAACATTCCGAATAGTTTATAACATAATTATAATCTTATTACGAAATCTAATCTAACATAACTTAAACCGATAGGTAAGGACGTCACCTTTAATATGTAATTAATTAAAATCCTAACTGAATCACATTTAGCAATATATCTATATAAAATCAAAAACTATATAAAAAGGACACAAACAAAATTATATAGTTGCAATAAATTAGAAGTATACTTCTTCACAAATATTTATGGCATTGCATGGATTTTTCTCTTATCTTTATCCAAAGTCAACATTACACGTTTTTATGCCCCTGTAATTGAAGATTCGGGGGTACACATGTATATAATTTCTGTCGTGTCTATCCGTCTATCTATCTGTCTGCCTGTAAAGCTAACCTTGCTCATAACTTCCTTTTAGTGGATCTATGATTTTCATTTTTCATATGTTCATTCCTTGTGACAAGACCTTTCTTAAGGTACCAACAAATTTGACTTATAGACTGTGACCCTGGACTTTGACACACTTTTAAACAAAAAATCTTGACTTTTTACCTTGCCAATAACTTTTAATTGGCAGATAGAAGGAATTTAATACTTCTCATATGTATTCTTTGTGAATAGACCTAACATTGGATACCGACAACTTTGACCTTGACCTTTGAAATTTATATACTTGAAAAAACTTTAACCTTGGCTATAACTTTAAAACTGTAGTGGATAGGGCTTTCATACTTTACATGTTTAAAGCGTGTGAGAAGCCTTTTCATTGGTTACCGAGAACTTTGACCTTGGAGTTTGACCCAGAGCGCCTGTCTCTACGTTCATCGGTGGGATTTGAACCCGCGATGTAAGATTCAACTCCTTGTTTTGGCAAATAAAAAGCTAAAAACAATTTGATTTGTTTTCCTTTTATTGAAAAAAAAAACATCAGTCCATGATGTCAGAAAGCCTTGGCTTAAATTTATCTTGGAGAACGATTGTATAAAGTGCTTTCTAAATTGATAAAAATTAATTTGATATTGATTCATAAGTATCAGGTTATGAAATCATTTCTCAACAATTTTTGCAGTCTTCAAAAAACTCTTTATCAAAATTTCTTGCGTTACGAAGTAAAGCGAGAAATATTTGTCCTAACGACATGTAAACAAATTGTTTGAGTCAGAACGGAAGTATAATACCAGATAATTGTGTACTCGCAATATTGCTGTGGACTTACAGGTTTCCATAGATTTTCCAACATAAATCAGTGGGTTTTTTTATCTATGGTTTTTCCTGGGTGGCGAAAGAAGCATACATTGTAGTTCAATAGTTGTGTTTATTTTTATTTTATAACTTGATAGATGTTCATATTGTGTGGAAACAATAAAGCCTGGCGTCATCTATAAGTGCGCTGAAATGCATACAAATGTGTAGTTGCTTATGTCATTGAAGTGAAGTGCGTACCCATAAATTTAACGTGGAAGACCGGTACTTTTTAATTTAAAAGTAGGAATCGATTACCTTTTGATCTGTGTCTATGATTTTCTATACAAGTGAGCCAGAATCAGAATTGGAGTGTTGCCTGTGCAGAATCATTAATAATTTAATAAGTATGATGATGTTTTGACCGAATATTTAATATCAATAAAATATTTAATATCAATAATGGACTCAGTAACACAAGGAATCCATCGCCTTGTATCTGTGGCGATAATTTTCTATAAAGCTGAGCCACAATTGGAATGCTGCCTGTAAAACAGGAATATCATTGTCATTTATTATTCATATTCTTATCAGTATGATGATATTTTGATCTTAAATTCAATACTATGGCGAACGAAGATGGATGATTAGCATATTTTTCATTATTGCAGAACGTCATACAAATAATACCGGTATATCAGTTATATAATGATAAGAAAACAACCGTATCCCAACATTTTTAAACTTCAAAGGGATGAAACAATTGACAAAACTGCGTAATTGTTTAGGTATTTAAATAAAACTGACAAGAAGAAATAAACAGAAATAACTTGCAGAGTTTAATTGCTCTAATATCTTTGATTTTGTGTTGAACAATTAAGTGACTTGTCTCTCTTGGCTAGGAAAGTCTTTTGTAGTATGGTTCTCAATTTCTCTAGAACATGGTTAACGTAATGGCTGCGCAAATGTTTTGAATAACTTTGCCTAGCTCAGCTGAAGGCTCAAAGTGAACAATTCAAATCGAAATTTCTCCGTTGTCCGCTGTCGTAAACTTTTTACAATATCATTTTCTCCAGAACTCCTGGGCCAGGGACAATTCCAAACTTTCATTTTCGGATATGTCAAGAACCTATTGAACTTTCGCAATAATTTTTTTTTTACCAAAGCACCCTTCTAGAGTCCGCAGACACACAATCGCACGCTCTTCTTTTTTCCTTAAGAGGGAGACACAGCTTATCTTAATGACCCTGATTATTTACATTGTATCTGCCATGATTTCTTATAAGGCGAATCAATAAATTTCTACTTTGTACCAAAATACCTCCCGTCAAATAGGCAAATATATACACTGCATGTACATGAAGGGTCAGGTTGTCCGCGAATGTTCTAAAAAATGCCCATACATGTACATGTAGATAGAAACATGAAAATTTCAGGTATGATAGTCCCAAGTCTATAGATGTGCAAAATGTATATCATTTTTAT